AGTGCTCAGGGGGCAAAGGCAGGGCAGGCAGATCTCTGTGACTTCAAGGCCAGCCTGGTCTACATAGGTCCAGGACAGCCGGGGCTACAGGGAAACCCCATCTCAAAAATGGAAAAAAAAAAAAAATCCCAAAAAGCAGAATTTAAAAATTATTTGGTTTTAACACTGAATCTAAACCTATATAATATATAGAAAGAAGGAAGATATAGGAAGAACTGTCATTGTAAGACCCTCCAATTGGAGTGTAAAGTAGGCCCTCAGTCTATTAACATCTAATAAGCTCTTTGGTTCCAACACCTCTTTGGCAAACATGAAATGCAATTCTCAGTTTAGTCCAGGCAAGAAAAAGAAAACACTATTTTCAGTTCCCAACTCACCCATAGGGTCTTACCTGCATGCACCAGCACAAAGCCACCTCGTTTCTCTTTACAGGACTGCTTGGTTCTAATTCCTTGACTGTTACTTTAGCAGCAGAAGCCTGAGGTGATCTGGAAGGCAGCCCTTCTCCAGAACTCATCCCCTTTTCCATGGTCATTCTCCAAGATTATCATCTTCTCTTAGGAAAAGAGTATACTTCTGTCCGAAAGCAACTGTATAAGAGGAATTACCCTAGAGAAAGACAGGCAAAGATGGTACAATTTCTATCAACATGCACATTACTTACAAAAAGTCATGCTTTTCAAAATACCTATTTTTAAAATTACTGAATTGGATAACAGAACATACAAAGTTTATAATTTAAATCTCTGTATACTGACAGTATTTGCTTGAAGACATATAAGCAAAAGAATGTACTAGAGAAAGACCTCATTCTAGTCTGTGTTTCTTTTACTCACGCTAAAATAATCTCTAATATAATTTAAGTATCACTTTATCCTCCCTCCAAACCAAATATCTATGGGATATTTTGGAATTACAAGGACTGCTGGCATACTGAACACCAATATAAAGCCTAGCTTTGTTTAAAGAAAGCAACAATTGCATACTTATATGCAAATAATTTTTAATTTTTATTTATTATTATTGTATATGTGTGTGCACATGATGGGGTGGGGCATGTGCATGCCACAGTACACATGAGGAAGATACAGAACAACTTTGTGGTCAATTCTCTCTTCCACCTCTACATGGTATCATAGTTTCTGTCTACTTGACACAAACCTAGATATACCTAGAAGAGGGGATCTCAACTGAAGAATTTCCCAGATCACAATGGCCTGTGTTCATATCTTTGGGGCATTCTCTTAACTACCAATTGATATAGGAGGGCACTGCCCACTGTAGGTGGTGCCATTCCTGGGCAGGTAGACCAGGGCTGTATAAGAAAGCTGGCCGAGCAAGGCAGGGAAAGCAAGCCAGTAAGCAGTGTTCCTCCATGGTTTCTGCCTCAGGTGGGTGCCTTGTCTTCTCTAGATGAACAATTGTAACCTGTATACCAAATAAACCCTATCCTCCCCCAACCTGGTTTTGGTCAGCAATTTATCATAGCAACAGAAATGAAACTAAAACACAACAACACATGGATTCTGGGAATGGAATTCCAGTTACCAGGCTTACACAGTAAGCACCTTTACTGACTGATCAATGTCACCAGCCTGAGTTTTTGTTTTATTTGTTGACACAGTATCTCACAATGTAGCCCAGGCTGCCCTGAACTCCCTGCCTCATGATGGTCCTACCACAGCCTACTGAGTGCTAGGACTACAGGAGTCCACAACTGTTCCTTACTTAGAAAGAAAAAAAAAATTCTTTTGATACAGGGTCTCCCTGCTCCCAGCTGGCCTGGAACTTGCTATATAGACCAGGCTAGCTTCAATCTCACAAAGATCCACCTGCTTCTGCTGTCTTGAGTGCTAAGATTAAAGGCATGTGCCACTATGCGCAGCTAGAAAGAAATTCTTAAGATCCATAAGATAATCAGTTTAATGCTGCTCACCTCAATTATAGAAGTATCAATGCCAACAAAAGCATATGTCGAAACCAAGAAATAAAATAACACTTCTTCAAATAGCTGTCAGTTAGTATGAAAACCACTATTTCTGAGGTTCTTCAGACAAGTGATAAGACAAAATTTAGTGGGATAATTTTCAAGAAACTTATGCCACAAAGCTTCTAATTTTTCTCATCATTACCAATTCACAAACTTTAAACAGTCCATCCTTATTAACCAACAAAGAAGGTAGATTACATCTCAAATTAGGGATAAATGTATCACTTAAAATCGACAAAGAGAGGGCTGGAGAGATGGCTCTGTACTTAAGAGCATTGGCTGCTCTTGCAGAAGACCTGAGTTCGGTTCCCAGGACCCATATGGCAGCTAACAACTATCTGTAATTCCAGTTCCAGGGGCCCCAATGCATTCTGCTGGCCTCCTCATGCATTGGCCTCCTCATGCATTGCACAACACAGGTACAATATACATCCAGGCAAAGCACTCATACACATAAAAATACATCAAAAAAATTAAAAATCAACAAAGAGATTTAAAGAAAACCTGAGAGTAAGGTGGTCCAAGCTTTCTAAATGACAATGTTACTTTAAAATCTTCGTATTAAATTGAGGGGGCTGGAGAAATGATTCAGCAGTTCAGAGCAAGTGGCTGCTTTTCCAGGCAACCCAGGTTTAATTTTCAGCACCCACATGGTGGTTAACAACCATCTTTAACTTCAGTTTCAGGGGATCGGACACCCTCTTCTGACCTCCGTGGGCATCGCAAAACACAGGTACACTTGCATATGTGCAGGCAATACACTCATACACATAAATAAAAATAGTAATAAACTTTTTTAAAAATTGAAAAACGAAGAGATCGGGCATGATGGCACATGTTGATAATACCAGCATGGGCTAAGGCAGAAGGACCACAAATTCAAGGTCAATTTGGGCTACATAATTAGATTCTGTCTCAAAAATAATTAATCTAATAAAGCAGAAAAAATGAAGTCCTTAATATACACTTAAGGACGTCTCAAAGACAGCTAGTTAACAAAAAAATTATTTTAAGGCATACAAATAATCAAATCAGAAGCCTGACGTCAACCTTGATTACACAGTGAGTTTCAGACCAGGCCCAGCTATACATTTAAAAAAAAAAGAAAAAAAAGTATTGTGTACAGAAACATTTGCACTAGCATCTGGAAGGGAAAAAAAGCTAAATATATATACAAACTATGCATCTGGAAAGATATACCAAAAAGTAATTTAATGGTATTATCAAAAGGATATTCAGAATTGGGTACTTGGGAGGCAGAGGCAGGTGGATCTCTGTGAGTTCAAGGCCAGTCTGGTCTACACAGGAAGTTCTAAGCCTGCCAGGGCCACATAGGAGAGAAGCAATAACAGTAGTCCACAACTCCAGCTCCAATGTCCACTTTAGGCCTCCACAGGCAGTGTATACACATTGTGCACTTACATATATGTAGACAAAATACTCATACACATAAAATAAAAATAATAAATAAAAATATTTTTTAAAGAAACCAGTAGTGAAGTAAAAAAAATTTTTTTTTCAAAGAATAGATTATCATGTGACCAAAGCCGGATGTGGTAGCACATACCTACAATCCCAGCACTTGAGAAGCTAAGGAAAGAGAATTAGTTGGAGACTAGCCTTGAGCTATATAGGCAGACCTTATCTCAGAAACAACCAACAAAAAAGGTTATGTGATCAAACAAATTCTATTCCCAACTATATACCCAGAACACTAATATGTCCACACAAAAATTTGTTCCCAGGGCCAGCAAGATGACTCAGCAGGTAAAGGAGCTTGCTGCCAAACCTGACTCTGAGCTCAGTCCCACACTCATACACATAAAATAAAAATACATCAAAAAAATTAAAAATCACCAAAGAGATTTAAAGAAAACCTGAGAGTAAGGTGGTCCAAGCTTTCTAAATGACAATGTTACTTTAAAATCTTCGTATTAAATTGAGGGGGCTGGAGAAATGATTCAGCAGTTCAGAGCAAGTGGCTGCTTTTCCAGGCAACCCAGGTTTAATTTTCAGCACCCACATGGTGGTTAACAACCATCTTTAACTTCAGTTTCAGGGGATCGGACACCCTCTTCTGACCTCCGTGGGCATCGCAAAACACAGGTACACTTGCATATGTGCAGGCAATACACTCATACACATAAATAAAAATAGTAATAAACTTTTTTAAAAATTGAAAAACGAAGAGATCGGGCATGATGGCACATGTTGATAATACCAGCATGGGCTAAGGCAGAAGGACCACAAATTCAAGGTCAATTTGGGCTACATAATTAGATTCTGTCTCAAAAATAATTAATCTAATAAAGCAGAAAAAATGAAGTCCTTAATATACACTTAAGGACGTCTCAAAGACAGCTAGTTAACAAAAAAATTATTTTAAGGCATACAAATAATCAAATCAGAAGCCTGACGTCAACCTTGATTACACAGTGAGTTTCAGACCAGGCCCAGCTATACATTTAAAAAAAAAAGAAAAAAAAGTATTGTGTACAGAAACATTTGCACTAGCATCTGGAAGGGAAAAAAAGCTAAATATATATACAAACTATGCATCTGGAAAGATATACCAAAAAGTAATTTAATGGTATTATCAAAAGGATATTCAGAATTGGGTACTTGGGAGGCAGAGGCAGGTGGATCTCTGTGAGTTCAAGGCCAGTCTGGTCTACACAGGAAGTTCTAAGCCTGCCAGGGCCACATAGGAGAGAAACACAAAAACACAAAGGAGAGAATCAATTTTCAAAAGTTGCCCTCCAACCTCCATGCATGTGCCATGACATGCGTACACGCACACATGCACACATATACATACACACACACACACACACACACACACACACACACACACACACAC